TACACCGATAAAGCCTCAAAACTATATCAGTGGAATATAAAGCTTACCGGTGAATACTCTCTCGAGTATGGTCACCCAATTCTTCCATCATGGTATCCCCACACTCAACACTTCATAATGTGTTAACCCAATATACCGTGCCACCTTTATACGTAATCCTGATCGAACTTTGGATGCTTCGCCTTTTTGTTACAGATTCGATTTGCTTGGGCCTGCAGAAGGCTTGGGGTCTACACCCACAATGGACAATTGGGCTCCGGCAAAAGTTTTGGGGCACGGCTCTTTCCACTGTTTTAATTACATGCTTCCGCATCCCGCACCAGGTTAAGGATCACACCCCCTGCCTCACCTACAAGATGCTTTAAGGTTAGGCGTCTAGCGTGTAGTCAGTTTCACATCAAAGCGACCAACGCCTAAATAATTTGAATCACTCCATGATCGATCAAAGCCCCAAACCCAATGAAAGTGTCCTCAGAAGCAGTTTGTGTCGCAGCATTTAGAGAAACGTATAATTTTACAAATGTATGAACTCGCTGTACTCCTCCTCCCATTCATGCAGATCCGCGTGTCTCCTTCTCCTCCCGTTCTTTGTTTCACAGACCATCTCTCCCTATTTCCTCCCGTTAATGTCGCACGTGGAATCCTCTTGACACAAGGTTTGTTGTTATTTCAATTTCCATTGACATGCCTATTTTTTGCATTCCTCCATCCTCCACATCTTAGTTTGTGACTTCGTTTGATTTGTGTTCTTTTTGCACTGCGTTTTCGTTCCGCTCCCTCATCATCTCCGTTGCGTATATCTTCTAATTCGACCTTTTTAATGCCTGCACGTTTTTGTACATATGATTACTTTGAACATGTGATCATGCTCTGTGCATGCTTCACGGGCTTCGTGAAGTATACATTATTATTATTATAGATTCATAAAAATTAAATGAGTAATAGGCTAGAAATGTGATCCAAAGCAATTAAAAGTTTTCAAAAAACGTTTTACAACATAAATAAAATAAAATACGAGGACTTACCAATTTGCAGGCACTGGCTTATCGGTACCCGAGATAATACGGCTATATCGCAAACCAACGTTCCTACGAGAGCAGAACCAGACAGTTCACAAAACAGAGGGAGATGCGAAAGAATGGTTAAGCAATCGGAAAGTAAACGCAAACACGTGTTGACCAAACAGGTGCCAATAAGCTTCTTTTCGGTAATGCCTCAATCAGCTAAATACAGTACAACTTATAACAGATTAAAAACAGGTGCGGAGCGGAGACAAATATCTGCAAAGGAAATCAGAGTTTAAGGAGAGATGATGGACTAATGATAATTGATGTTTGTGGGTGTCTGTCGGTGTATGTATGTTTGTGCATGCGTGCGTGGAAAGTGAGTGCTTGTGAATGGGTGGGTAGGTGAACGAGCGGTTGATCATAAACGGAGATCACGTCACCAGATTGTTGGTGGATGGCCATGGTAAGATCAATGCTCTTACAAACATTTTCTGGGCGCATAAGGTGGAGGTTGTGGAGGAATTTGTCGCAGAAGTGGTTAAAGAATTTCCAAGGAATCCGGAACGCGATGTTCGTAATCTCTCATCTATGATTTTGGATAAGTCAACGCTAGAATTGTTGTCGTTAGGGCCGAAAGTTTGCTCTCCAACTCGTAGTACTCCCCAAATATTGTTGAAAACTCAGTTTGAAAACCTTTATGAACAACTGGGAGAGTTAACTCCATCATCTCATTTTGTGACTCAGAAGCCTAAATCCAAGTTTTTACAGACATGCTTTCGATATGCAACAACAAAGAAACGACTAAAGGCATTCTAAAATCGGAGTATTTCGAAAACTTTAAACACCTGAAACCGTTTAGGAAATTTTGATCACAAGACTGGATAAAGGTACGGGAGTCATCATTCGACACCGAGCAGACTATATCATCAAGCTGAACGAACTACTCGGTGTCAGTATTGAGTTTACACCTAACCTCAGAAAGAAAGATACAACCTCTGGTATAGAAAGGAGTGTATCCAAGGTGATGAAACAATAAAAAAGATGGCGTAACCAATTCTTCCACCCGTAAAAGAATTAGACCGTTCGAGACCTCAATACTTCGGCTATACGGACTACCTAATTACCACAAGGATTGGGTACCGGTGCGTCCCTTTTTGAATATGAGTAATTGGCCGTACCACGCTCTGGCAAAGTGGTTGGCTGATCCCCACGAACCAGTCATAAGAGACATCATCAAGTTCAGTTTACGGGACTCTTTTTATTTTGTTAATCACATTACACCAATCAACTTAATCAATAAAAAGATTTCACCTCATTATTCACCAATGTGCCACTCCAAGAGACCAATAAATTCATCACTGATTATGTAGAAAATTCGGGAACTTCTGTCGGACTACCCGTAGCTGAGCTCAAGAGGCTGCTTTATCTATGCGCATATAACATAAAATTTCAAATAATTGTGCGATTCATGGACAGAAAGACGGAGTAGCCATGGGTTTGGTATTAGGACTACTATTGGCAGACATCTTCATGGCCAAATTAGAAAACGGATTACTCTCAAAAACCATAGAAGAATGCCCCCTCTACAAACGATATATGGATGACATCATATGTGTATACGATGCTGACAGGGATGCTGGTATTCTGTTGCAGAAATTCAATAAAGCTCATCCGAAAATAAAGTTCTAACTAGAAACGGCATCCGCAAATGGTCTCACATTTCTAGACGTGATACTGTCCCGATGATGAAACGGCTTCATTCGTAGAAGCATCCACCATAAGAAATCGTGGACGGGACAATACACGCTATACAATAGCTACGTCCCATTGCAACAGAAGAGAAATTTGATTCACTGCTTAACTAATAGTTTAACGGCAATCCGAACAACGTTCAATATGAATCACAATGTCTCGACTTCGACTGACCAAATTTCCAGCACGTAGGAAAACATTTGAACGACAGTTAAAATTTCGTTTCTATTACAGGCATACATCAACACATATTTGCGACTTACGAAACCGTCGTAGGTCCCAGTTACAAAACGACAAGCAATTGGCAAAATCACGGAGCGAGACCACAAAGATACCAAGCGGGTAATGAGGAGACCGGTTAAAACAACTGTTAAAATGTTGAGTTTATAAAAAATAAAGAAGAGATAAGAAAAGGAAGATAATGGAATTAGAAAACTATTGTATACAAAGCTTTCGAAAACCGTCACAAATAGAGTTAAGAAAGTTTGTTCTTTGAACTCTGTCTAGTTTGCACTGGGAAGAATGCGAAATGTGTTTCTAGAGAATGGATGTGCTGAGTCATTCATTCATAAATGTATGACATCATATCCCTCCAAGATATTACGTAACACAGCAAATAAGAAGCGTGTCAAGCTCTCCTTCCTATTCGAGGGAGAAACGATCGCGAAAGTATTGAGTAAAAGTAATCAACCTTCCATCAAATTCACCTACTTCGCGGCTGAACCCTGCATCATATTCACGTCCAAACCGGTCCTCTTTATGCAGGATAAAGATGGATTACCTCCGGACGCGAACTCATTTTGCCTTTATCAGTTCACCTGTTATGTGGGTTGAACGGTGAGGCGTCTATCTGATCGCATCAAGGAGAATTACTCCGTTTGATTGAACCAGGGATTGACAAAGAGCGGGCGACGGCAATTACGAACCATTTGACTGAGTCTAATCACACAGTCAATGTGCTCGAGGCTTTCCGTCCTCTCTACACGATCAAGGGTAGGTTATTCAAAGAGGTCAAGTTCAAAATTTTGTCAACTGCCCGTCTCCACACACACCCCCCCTCCCTTGTGGACCCAGAAACAGTTTGTAAGAACATTGGTCATACCATGGCCATCCACTACCAATCTGGTGACTTAACCTCCGTTTATCGTCAACCACTCATTCACCTACCCACACATTCACAAGCACTCTAACGTTCCACGCGCGCACACACACACAGACATACACACTCACGAACATCAATTACCACATGTCCATCATCTCTCCTTAAACTCTGATTTCCTTCGCAGATATTTGTCTCCTCGTCCCACCTGTTTTAATCTGTTATAAATTGTGCTGTATTTAGCCAGTTGAGGTAGCACCGAAAACGAGCTTGTTTGCTATTTTGTGTTCTCATAAACTGAGATCATTTTGTGGACAATTATCATTTCGCGCTGCGTACTCCTTTTTACTACTGAGAAGCTGAAAACATAACTCACCTGGATTTTTATCTAATCGCCAAGACGAGGAACAACCCCTGGTTAAACAGTACTGACAATCGGGTGAATAACGTTAATGACTAATTTATATCCAGGTATGGAGGGTCTCTAAAACATAGGAATTGCACACTGAGAAGATCAAACATAATCTACATGTATAGTCCACTTCTGAATGGCAATTTCAATAGGTACTGGTACGATGACTGAAGTTACTGGAATTGTCTACATCCACGGTTGCGTTCCTGATGAAGGACACGATACTGGCTTGGCAAATCTCCTTCTGTGCCCACCAGTATCTTTGGTTGTTGATTTCTGTGAGGTGAGCGACAAAGAGTGGACAGCTATCCGCTCGCTCAACCGTACAGTAGAGTAACGTTCCCGGATTGCGGAGTGATTCAAAGCGAAAGCAAAATGCGACATTTGCGGAGTGGTCAACGCAGATTCTTATTAAAGGAAAATCATGTTGTTTTGTCTCTAAATAACGTGATTTCTGTTTAATCGAGGTTGGATCTCACGGATTGTATACTGTTAATGTAAACAAATAGAAACCCTATAATGACGTGTTAGTGGTACAGATACTAACTGAAATGAGAAAACTAATTCCCTTGCGATTGCGCAATGTCTGCCAGCCTAGATTCTTCCATATCCCCCCGGTGTTGCTTTCACTGACGCAATATACCTAAACCTTATGGTGTCACCTGCATGACCAATTAATCAAGCTTTTTAAAGCCGTGGTTCTTTGTCTTTTATCTGTCCTCTTCTTGGTCTAAAGTACTGCAAGATAAAATGGAACAAGAAAAACCACACTTACCAGTACGCCGAACGTTGCTATTAGACCATAGGCCAGGTAGTTCATGTACTTCAAAAAGAATGCTTTCAAAGGCTCTCGACAGGGCTGGTTGATGTTACTGTTGTCCGTGGTGAACATGTTCGGGCAATTGGCTCCCGTGATCACATACTTGTCGTTCATCATACAACACGGAACCGGAAACTGCAGATCTGGTATTTGTAAAGTTCAAAATAAAAAAGGAGGCTAGGTGCCAAAAATAAAGAATAACCTAACTTGTTAGGTGCAAATAGTTTCTCTCCCTAGCTCAACACAGACGTTAAATACTGATTGTAGGATAAACATTTGCTTTTTCAGAAATTCTGCTCATCTGCGGGACCAATTTTTGAAATTCATTCTTGGGGTGTGACAAGGCATGTTGGTAATGTTTGTCTGCGTATTGCATACAAATGGAAATTTCGGGGTTATAGAAATTATTGAATTATCGAACGTGTCTACGAGAATCTCTAAAAAATGTATGGTATTTACATTATGAAAATCCCATTGCTTTCTGTGAAAAAATGTGATTTTTGTTAGAGCATATAAAAGTTAAATCGCATAACTGATTGAATAAATGAATATTTCCTTGGGTCCATATCCGCGTTGCAGACAATTTAGATACTGAAAACCTTTTACGTTTTTGCTGTTAACAAGCCGAACGTAATGCCATACTGATTGCAGAAGACCCTCACACAAAAGCTAAACTCACTGTTATAGGTTTGTCCGTTGTATACATCCGACTTTGACATGTTTACAAAATCCGTTGGACCATCCACACCACAACATTGCAACTGAAATGCAAGACGCACGGAAGTTTCCAACAATCCATGATTGAATGAATTTGGGAGTGGAACTAATAACGCCAACAAAGGATTCATTTCTAGGTACATATATGTGGAGGTAAACAAGATATTCGATTTCAACATAATAAAACAATGTGTTCGATATGCACAGTCAGTATCTCTCACACGTGTGCATTCTACCCATATTCCTATCCAGTTAGCAATCGAAAGAATCAGTCAATCTCCTTCTATGCCGCACCCACCGGGAATTCGAAAAGTGGGTAAATTTCAGGAACTGCGAAATATTAGTCAGTAATAGATTCTATTAAGTAATATGAAACATCGGTTGGGAGTTTTGTGACAAAATAAACCGGATCGATGAAAAGTATGTTAATTATGTTACTTGTGCCCAATGTTTATAATTATGTACCGTTTATTCATAACATATTTTAGATATACAGTCTTGCGTACCCTTTAACTATCAAAGACATTGAAATCTTTTTATGATACCTTCAGCCATTACGTTAGTCCATTGCATCCGGCATTTCGCCCTTTTTCAGTTTGAAGTTTCTAGTTATTCCCAAACTACCCACCTTTATTTAAGGGAATTTCTGTTAACTCACTTATCGCTGATTAATTCCAGATGGTCCACCATTCTTTTGCAATGGTAGGCTAATCACAGATATATGGCTTCAACCATAATATGCAACTGTTTTAGCTAAAATCATCACAACATCAACATTAACCCATTCGACGAAAACAAGATTGAACCAGATGGAACAGCGAGAGCACGGGATAAAAAGCACATTTGAATGAACTCACGTCATCTAAAATAAGTGAAATATCCGTTACAGAGTTTAGTCGGTATACTGACTTTTTTCTCATATTCCAAACTGATTGCTCGCTGTGCAATCTATTAGTGATTTTCTGGTGAAAAATGTGTTGTGATCGCTTCCTACACACTTTTTGGCTGGTTCTCTTTTGTTGCTATCAATGGACGTTCAAATCGATTGATACATTCGTTGTGGCCACTGTCGGCAAACGTGAGTGACGTTGATTGACAAGTTAAAAGTGCGTTGCTCAAACAGTCAGGAGCGAGTCAGAACCGGGTTACGATGAACTTTAGCCAATGACCTGTCTAACTTCATCGGTGCTGTAGCAAGGACATGTGCGACTATCGTTCATTCACACGGCGTTCATCGATCACTTGAATCCGAAATCTTACTCCACAAGCCCGCTTACCAGACCACCGTTTACACGTTAGTGCCCATCGTCAGACCGAATGACCGTGGCTTTAGTGACCACTGCAACAAAAATAAAAACACATGCGAGTGCCCCGCAGAACTGCAGAAAAAAATCTTTGCAGATTACAAAGTTGTATTTTAGCGATCATAAATCGTCACTTGTCTCGGTCTTGCTTTCCTTTGGAAATAAACAAATGTGCTGTTTAGGTAAATTATACACCCCTGTATTCAACCGGAAATCCGAGCATTAGTCAAGGCAAACGGCTTCAATTGATCCAGCAACTTATGTGCTTCACTAACTGAGATCGCTTACGGCACATTCACTGCTTCACATTCGTCTTCTTCTTTGTGGCACTTAGCTTGATTCTAAACAAGGTGATTTATTTTTCAACAGGACGTTCATCAATGGATACATAGCGAGTAAAGTCTTCAGTCAGATCGCAGTTGTCCTCTGGTGGCTGCGTCAATGGCTGATTCAATGTGGGTTTGAACCCAGCGTTTATGAAAGTACGTGTGGATGCACAGACAGGCATACTTTCTTGACCAAATACATGCCCATGAGGATGTCCACTTCGGATTTCATGCCAAGCTGCTCACCTTTGAACAAAGACAAAACACATTCCAGTAAATATCTTCGAAACGAACATTTGAAAGACCAAATCACACCCTGATCCACTGGTTGTAACATTGAAGAACAGCTCTGAGGCAGCCTTACTGATTTGGATACTGCGGCTTTGTTATGGGAAAGGGCGTTGTCTTTAAATAGTAAACTGGGGTGTCTTTGAAAAATCAGCTTGCGGTTAACATCCGACAGCTTACTGTGAAAAAACGCAGAAGTCACCCATGGGTTCTTTGAAGAATTATAATTGCATGGAAGGCATTCTTTATCTCTACCTCAGAGATATTGAAATAGGTAAATACACAAGGAGGTAACTTGAGAGTCTAGCTTGTCCAAGTTGGATTCAGTGATCATTCGTCTGTTTTTATGGAGAATAATAAGCGAAGCGGCGTTGTACGTTCAAGAGAGAGTTTATTTCAGTCGACGTTGTGATAGCCTCTCATTCTGATTACCTCTAAAGGGTAATGTGATGAGAACGTGTTTCTTTGGTACGTCGTTTCTCCTAGTTCTGGTTGATGGTGTGGCAATGGGAAGCCCACTAGGGCCAATGTTAGCCGATATATTCATGGGCCACTTAGAAGCAACAAAACTTTAACAATCGATACATGAGATTTTTCTACAGGCGCTATGTTGATGACACGTTTGTCGTTGTCCAAAACAAGAATCATGCTAAAGAAATGCTAAAATCTTTGAATTGCTGTCATCCCAACATCAAATTCACCGTAGAACATGAATCTAAGACATCCTTTCAAGTCATAGATGTCAAACTCACGAGAAGGGAAGATGGATCTCTTCTCAGGTCTACATACCACAAACCAGCTTGGACCGGACAGTATCTGAACTTCAGAAGCTTCTATTCAATACAATACAAGGGAGCCCTAGTAAAGGGAATGTTTTCTAGAGCAAAACGAATTTGTTCTGCGGAAACACTTAAAAACGATCTTGAGCTGATAAACTGTCCATTAAATGATAACGGGTATTCGCGGAATTTCATTACAAAGTATGACAACAACATAGAGACCAGAACTAGGAGAAACGACGTACCAAAGAAACACGTTCTCATCACATTACCCTTTAGAGGTAATCAGAATGAGAGGCTATCACAACGTCGACTGAAATAAACTCTCTCTTGAACGTACAACGCCGCTTCGCTTATTATTCTCCATAAAAACAGACGAATGATCACTGAATCCAACTTGGACAAGCTAGACTCTCAAGTTACCTCCTTGTGTATTTACCTATTTCAATGCACTTGCGGTAGCAAGTATATCGGAAGAACTGAGAGACGCTTGGCCACTCGGATTTCAGAACACGTCCCAAGAACTCTCGCACTCAATAGCTCGAAGGTCCCCTCCAGCTCTATTACCCGCCATATATTGGACTGTAAATTTTGCATCGATTCAAAGCAAGCATTCCAGGTGTTAAACCAACAGAAAACGGGGCGGTTGTTACGGCTTGCTGAGGTCGTAGCCATTCGGCGTCACAAACCAGACCTCTGCAGACAATTAGACTTTGTGGCCAGCCTAACCCTCCCATGGTAGGGCTGTCACTCTGATCCAGGTCGATGAACATGTTCTCCCACCCTATCCCTCTGTTCAACCTGACTGCGATTGGTGACCTTTGACCTTCGCAATGATTTTGCCTAGTCGAGTGTTTTTTTGTGATCGAACTTTCACATGAATGTTTGTACACAGCTGAAGAGATAGCGTGAAACAGTTCAATTCAACCTGTCCTGTGACGATGCTTGTTCTTGCTCTTATGAAATTCCTAAAGGGAACCAGATGTATGAAATTTCTAAAAATGCGCCTCTCACCTGAGAGGTGATAAATTTGTTCCATTCATGTTCCCACAAAGTAGTAACCTGACTCTTTGTTTGGGTTTCTCGGACCCATAAACTGTTTTCTTTTGAAACTTAGTGTTCTTTCTTGGAGCTGCTTGTAATACAAGGCTGTTTGATCTAACAATAGAATCAGGTTTGTTTTAGCCACAACGTGAATACCTTTGATCTGCATTGAAAATATCACATTCATCGTATCCATGGAGCAACTGCGGTAACCCCGCTCGATACTCGTCCACCACATCTGGTGGTACCGCCAAACATTCCCACTGAATTACTCATCTGTGGAACCAACAGAGAAATTTCGGAAACCTTGAAGTCACAATGAAGCATTTTTTGTGCCAACTGAATTGCGTTCATAGAGATGAGGCTCTCCATCATGGCGAACTCGTCGTGATTTATATTCATAGCAGTAAACTAAGACCAGGTTATCTCATTCATTGTCTTGAAGATTTCGTTTGTTTTCAGGTGGCAACTTTCCTGAGATGTTCCGGTGTTGACATTTATCCGATATTGGTTCGACGGGATATAACACCCTAAAGAGTTGTTCCTGAAATACCAAGTGATTCGGCTATGGAGCTCAGAGCTGCACTTGGCTGATTCAACACGTTCTAATCGATAGGCGATCGCACATTTTGAAGTCAGATGACACCCTTTGACTGTTGGCATCGGTGTATCATCCCAGCAAACGTTATCCAATCAGTCACGTTCGCCTCACATTAGGTGAAACGCCTTTGGCTGAGTGCGACATTGCAGGTCACTGGCCATCTCGAACATTGGTCAACAACCAAGTGAGTAGATATCAGGACCTACGACATATTGAGGGGTGCGATATTGCATAGTCAGAAACTACGTTATGACACATGCGGTTCGTTTGGGTTTTCCAGAATATGGGAAGGTATTAGAAAATGCGACTTCTCAGGGGCGCAACATAGCAGGAGATTGACTGTATCTGTCTGCTCACCGGGATTTGACCGGGAGCATTAGAAGATGGGAGTAATTCAGCACACCATCAACTTTTGCTATCCGCAGTTTCTCTCCTCAGATTTATTCACACCAAAGTACTTCGCTTGAAGGTTCTTCAACGTCGAAGAGTAGAACTGCATAAACAAACACATGGGAAATCCTAAAAAAACGAGATTGGGTTGCGTGAGGCTTCCATTTACCTTTTGTGAACGGTAAACCAAGTGAACAGGTCATAATAATTTATTTCGGATAGCGCTGCTCTCGAATTTCCTAATGTGATGCCCATCTATTGGGGTACTTTTGAGTTCGCCGTCTTAATATTGATTGTAATATGTCTCTTCTACTACTGATCAACCCAAGGGGAAACCTGGCACATTGTGAATAAACTTCAACAGTAAAACGAAAATGCAATTGTAACTCACCGGGGGTTGCAACAGTCCCACGATCAGGCTGTCAGCAGTGCTAGACGCCATGGACACATACGCGCTTACGCTTTTCGCAAACATTTGAACCGCGAACTCCCCTAGCTATTTTAGTGAGCAGAGATAAAAGTAGAACTCAAATTTATTACATTCGTAAAATGGAAATCAAAGCAAAAATAAAACCTGTCACAATTTTAGAAGAAAGCTTGAGTAAAAGCTTCAAAAATGCATGAACTGTTGGGAAAAGAGATACTGTTTGCTTCGTTGGAGTTGAAAATCAAAGTTTACTGACGGTTGAAAAAGTAAATAAATATCTCGGAATAGATTTTCGTTATTCTTTGTTCGGGAAGAAATAATATAGCTACTAGGATAAATTCGCAGACTGCCTGAAAGTGGGTTTTCGCAATCATTTGGTTTCATCAGTAATAGCTGAGAGTAGAGACAAAAACGGAACACGTTTTTGACTGTTTTTAGATCTAGCACAAGTGGTCACCATTTGATTACACCGAACAGGTTTTCACAGCCGAGTATTTCGAAAAAGCGCAAAAAAGGCGCGCTGTGAACAACAATCTAATAGACCGGATAGAGGTGTCATGCGTGTCAGTAGGTGGGTCCCGTTTACTTGGTTATTCACTCATTGGGAAGAGGAATGATCACCCATTCGTGATTTCACAAATGGATCGTGAGTTGGAGTAAGCATCGGCGTTCAACTCAGACATCAAGTGTTACGCTCCCAACGGATATATCTTTTCCATATAAAGGTTTGATGCAACAGAGAAAGTCTGTTATGGTGATAATAATCTGTTCTACATAGTAATGGAACGTTTTGGTGCGAAAGTCGTTCCTGCGTCTGGGAACCAAAGGCAAATAACCAATACACATTGAAAAATCAAAATGATGTGTACCTAACAAATGGTCGAATTTAAAACCAACGCAACGGTTGGCAACCGCGACAGTAATATTTTATCGTGAGTGCTTGTATATTACTGGACCTTTTGGGTTCATGGCGTCTTATTGGCTTTGACTTTCAGGTTTAGCTTTAATCTCGACCCGCGGAGGACCTGCCTGCCAGTGCTCCATCACTTCTCCGTAGTCCTATTACGCAGAAATAATGTTCCGCTCTCTCTCTTTCTCTCTCTGGAAAAACAAATCTTCAAAATGAGCCATTTTATTTCCTTCTTTTGCGATGAGGCAGACAGGTTTCTTCTTACCACAGGAACATAAAGCGATACGCACGGGGAAAAATCTGCACTCACCGCATCGCGTCTGGCAAAGTAAATAATCACAATTATAATGACGGCCGCTGCCAGCACTCCAATCAGCCCCGCATACTGAAAAAAAGCACAAGGCAGTAATCAGCACATCGTTCATGCATCGAAGAGGATAGAAAATGATGAGCCATCTAATTTAGTTGGTTTCTCCAATGAGAACGAATATCTTCAATTTTAGTTCTATTTATTGTTGTTATATATAACCCCAATAATCAAATTTGAAAATATGTGCATTACAATTGGTTACTAAAACTGAATGGACATAACGTAAACTACATAAGAGTAATGGAGGATTTTATTCAATTTCAAAGAGGAAAGTCGTAATATATAAAGCAGATGAGGGAATCCCTGAACAGCTGTTTCGATCTAGTTTGTTGTCGTCTGCTTCTCGGTGACCGAGTGAGTAGCATGCTTACATTCGCCTGTGAGTTCCCCGGTTCGATCCCCAGATGGGTTGATGGATTTGCACCGCTGATGATAACCGACCAGGTGGAAACAGTTGTACAGTGCGTCCAGTGATTCAGTTCAGACTTCAGTTGCTCTATACACGACGTACGCTGTCTTGAAACACTATTTGACTAATGACATCACCCCATAATCAAGTCACTAATTTTAAATCTTTTTCAAATTGTGTTTAAGCTTTTATTGGCTACATTATAATTTATTTTGAACCAGTGTCCGAAAAATCGAAATATTACCAAGTAACACCGTCCCTAATCACAAAGCATCCTTACTGAACGGAAATTTCTGTGCTCTGAAAGATACAAATTTGTTCACGAAAATCGCTGAGTATGTTCCATCGTACTCCGGATTAACGAATTGCAACGTACATAGCTAGAAACAGTGTATGTAGCGAGCCCAATTTATTGCGCTTGAGAAGCAATCAAATTCTGTCAAATCCAAGCAAGAGTGAACCTAGTTATCAATAAAATGCAGATTTTGCCATCGGTTCTCCTACTTAAAGGACAACTTATTCTCATTGGGCATTTTAAGTTCCTCTTACACAGAATGCTGTGACGTAACGAGCAGCAATGACTTTTACATGGTTCCTGATAAATAAAATCTAATGAAACAATGAACAGTCGATAGAACGAAGAATGAACATCTGTTCTCTGTGCACACCAATCACAGACACTACACATGTTGATATTCACGAATAGCACAAGAATGCGAAATGTGTTTTAATTTGTTCAGAAAACAACCATATTTTGGGAATATACCAGCTAAGTCATTAAAAATCACATACACTTACTAAGTACAGTACAATTTTGTAATTGCAACAGGCACCACAGTAACCGATAACTGATAAGATGGCACAAGCAGCACCCAAGCACAACAGCGTCATGCCAAAGGGAGCTGGAACAGAGAAAGATCGGTTCATGGAATGAGGATAATCCATCAGGATATGAGGAGACAGGATAATATTCTGAAAACTACCTCCTTTACATTTAATGAAATAATGAGGATCATTAAACTGTGGCTGGCACTACCCACTTATGCATGCAGATAATTCTTAAACCATTAGCACACGATAAACTAATCAACTCCCTCTAAGACAGAATATTATGTCTGAATGCAGACTATTAAACTAGAAAACAGTGACAAAGTACCGACAGACATTTTAAGTAATAAGATAACTGTAACCATCTACCGTTGTAATTCATCCACCGAATTGTGTATTCAGTCAATAATTGTTCTCAGTATTTCGTATAAAGACGATCACAATTCATAATTGAAGATAAAATCGAGAAAAGTAGAATGATTACATCGTTGAGTATTGCATTTGTTTTACTATGATGTATATGTACATGTCACTGATCAGCTCTACGCCGTCGTGGACTGTACGTATGCCGCGCTAATTGCATAAATCAGTTGCGAATGGCCCGTTATTACGTGTGTATATATTATCCGAAGGAGAGTGTGCATTCGTGTCGTGAACTTCTTTCCGGAGGACTTAAATAAGACGGACCGAGCGCTTCAGGGGTAAAATGCGAATGATACCTAACCTGAAACTAAAACATGTATTCCACCGTGATCTGACCGGATTTTGGTTTCTGTTTTTTGACTGATCCGGTGACCATTGTCTTCCAAACGNACTCAGGGGCCACCTTGACACATCCAACGCAGATGATATTCTTCCCTATGAATAGGCAACTATTGTGTCGTTTGAACGATGCAGCGTATGTCAAAAAGACATCTGAACTAATAAATTACCAGTCTGCATTGAAAGAGAAAATTTGATAAACGACTGCAATTTTGACTTTACCGCGCAGTTGAGTTATCCAGTAAATGCCTCCGATGCAATCTCACCAAGAACAAGAATGTAAAACGTTTCACTTTTGACTCTTGTCCGTTGCAGTTTTCTCCTCCATGATATGTAAAATCAAGCGATCTGGTTATTCATTATTGTTCAAAACGTCAGAGACAAACCGGAGCGATTCTTTCGGCAGTATCAGTTAGCCGATATTTTTATTTGTTAGGGAAAGTCACAGTCAGGTTTACGTTTGATGTATTTGGTGTGTTATCTGTTGTGTAGCATTAAAGACATACTACTTTGTATAGGCTTATGACTTATTCTAATAAACAACAACTAGACTTTATCGGTACCAGGCACTGTTGATGACGTTCGGTGGGAGAACGTTAATTACCCACTATTTGAATGCATTCACCATACGGTGGAAATCTTCGTGATAACCAACAAAGAGCACTGCACAGCTGTTTTGTCCTGTTTGGAACTCATCAGCAGTGCGTACAAGGTGATAACCGTCGACCGTGTAGCTCAGGTCGAAGGGTTTGAAGTCCCAACTCAAATCTTCGTGGTTCGAGTCCTGACTGGGACACTAAAAGTACGCACTGCTGACGAGTCCCAAACAGGACGAAACAGCTGTCCAGTGCTCTTTTTCCGTTATCACAAACACTTCCATCGCACTGAAATGCATTCAAGCAGTGGGGAATTACCGATCTCCAAAGGAATGAAACCCACACTGAACATCATCAACAATGCCGGGTGTCTGTGAAAAACCGAATGGGCTAATCCAAACATCGACCGTCTAAACAAGTAGAATTTACATTCACGTAAGCCACTAAAAAGATGACTACCAATGGCTAAAAACTGTTTTTCGCCCAACGTGTTGTTCAGAATCTGCTCTTATTGCTAACGTTGAATCCAAAAACAGAAAGGGTAATCTCGATCGCATGAAATAACCAGCAATCAATGAACGTGGATAAAGAGTTTAATTTAAAACCAATTAGAATGAATAACGCCTACACCAAATCCAAAATGATGCACAAATATACGATAATTGTTTATCGCAGGAAGTTAAAAAATTGACATCCACAAATAGGACCGTTTTCCGCAAAAGTGTGAAAACAAATTTCTTCCATCTGCATAGGAATGAAGTTATCAGATATTCACGAACCTGTGGTACCCAAAATCCGTGATAGCAATTCGGTTATCTGTGTCGCGTCCGCCCCTACATTGATCACTTTGAGCAGAGGCGTGACAAAACTGCTCAGAATACTACTTAACGCATCTTTGCCCCAAATTAGTATTGCACCAACGGCAAGTAGTGCGATTCCGACAATCTGATGGAATGAAAGCAGAGGTAGAGCCACATTCGTGAATTCATCCAAGGAACCAGTTGACCATATTCGGTTAAATATGATTCCTCTCATAATTATTGGCATAATACAATATGATCTGAATAACACGCAAACCGCAAAAATGGGGGGCAAACTATTCAAGAATCGCCCTGGCAAACGGGAAGATCTGGTGGTGTTGATTGAAACAATGCATTATCTTTGAGCTACTATGTTATGAATGTGACCAGGGTTTGCCTATCAGCGACTAAGTTAAATTCAAAACCAAGAACACATTGTTTCGTGCTTCGTCTTATTAAACAACTCAGACTAAAGAGTATGTAATTCAACTTATTCCTGTAACAGAAGTCACCATGTGAGAGTTCATGCTACATATACGTTAATTGACTAGTTTACGATCGAAATGTTCCTTTCAGTAAGGTCCTGTGAATCGAGAATGATATATGGCGGGTTTTATGGAACAGGTACAAATTGATAAAAAAATATAGAAGAGTCACAAAAATTATTAGCTGAAAATTCCCATCGTGACATTGACAGAACAACACGAGTAGGGAAAAAGCTCGTTTTCAATAACTTCCTCCTCTGACTAAAACAGTTATATACATTTAGTGAATAAACGTGCAACAAATAATTTCAGAACGAAAATGCGTTGATTGGACGGTATGGAAGTGGTGAGAAGTGATTGGGAAAGACGTGAAAACTAAAATTATTATTCCGTGGTTTAGAATAGGGAATCGTGAAAACAAAAAGAAATGGGAGGTGGAGAGATGAAATAGGAAGGGCGAGGTCACACACTTATGTCAAGGGGTCACGAGAGGGATCATGGGTGGATTGACATTCAGTGTCGGGTCTGGGTCAGGGTAGCTGTAGGGCTTTAACAAATTGCTTTTGTGAGCATAGAGTTGGTCGCAATAACCTAATTGCTACCGCCTCTGCTGTCACAAGATGGCGCTGCCGGAGGGTTTTGGAGGGTCTTGGGGATACGTTGTAGATAATTTTGAACGCATCTTCAGTTATCTGCTGTCCCGTATCTACGAGGTACGCCGTGATTGCACTCGAAACATCCTTGTGATTCCTGTGTTTAACCAAGCTCGTTTGTGTTCCTTGATCCTTTGATAAAACTGCCTGATCGTCCTGCCTATGTAGCTTGCCGAACATGAGCAAACAAAAGAATAGGTCAACATTGAGGAAGTGAGGATAGGCAATTTATGTTTGAGATTCAATGACGACAAAGATCGGTTGGTGAATTGTGTACATAACCGGGCCGCAGGAAAAGTTCGAGCGATCGATTTATCTAGGCGTTTTGTTAACAAATCGCATTTGTAGTCACCTTTGAACGGTAGACGTAGATAGATTTGCTTTTGGCTTGCTGTAGTCACCGTTTTTCTTTTGGCCCCTTCACATAGATTATTTTCAATAAATCTCTCGGGATAGCCATTGTTCAATAGGGCTTGCCTGAGCCGGTTCATTTCTAACTCCAGGTTTTCTACTGAACATATATTTCTGACGCCAGCAGCTAGGGATCGGACGAGGTTTCGCTTACGCCCCAAAAGTACAAAACTGACGAAATGAGTGTACTGACCTGTCCATGTGGGTTTTCTGCTGACTGCTCTACTAATTGTTCCGTCCGAGCGCTTGATAAAATGAGCATCTAGAAAATGGAATATGTTGGCTGTTTCCATTTCCAACGTAAAATTGAGCGCGTCATGAGCTCGGTTAAACGTGCTGGTCAGTGTTTGCAAAGGTATATTCTCGTCAACTAACGTGAAAATATCGTCAATAGAATGGCAATAGAATGGTAAACCTTCTATGGTATATTGCAGTTCCTGGTTTTCCAATTTTGCTACGAACATGTCAACCAAAAGCGGGCCCAGAGGTGATCCCANTGCAACTCCGTCCGTTTGCCTGTAAAATTCTCCGTTGAAGCTAAACTGAACGTTGAAGGTACAGCGTAGTAGTGGATCCCTCAAATTAGCCAATGGAATACCGATGTTTATCTCGTTGACCATGATGTAGTCACATAAATGGTTCACTGTTTCCCCCAAAGGAACATTGGTGAACAACGATGTCACATCTAATGATGCTATAGACAAACCAGCCATGCGTCGTTTGCGTATAAGTTCCACAAATTGGAATGTATCCTTCAGACTGTGGCGTTAAATCTGTCTGCCATTGGGCAACCGAATGGTAGGGAGAAGCGCTCATGTCCAAAATTGGTTTTGGAGATACACCCGGTTTATGAAGTTTAGGTAAATCGTAAAGACGAGGGATAGAGGTTCCTGTTGATCTCAGCTGTTGGTAGAGAGAGATGAGAGATGATATTCTGATCCCTCGGGGACTAATTAAAAATTTATCTCAAACAGTCCTTGTCAGACTAATTCATATGCAGAAACACGCAAGTTTTCAGATGTTAGGAATAATATATATATATATATATACACATGTATATACAAATGATGACCTTCTTCGATAGTCAAGTGATCTTCTTGATATGCAGTTAGTTTAGCTTATATGTATAGTCATGCAATTGTTCCAGCGGCAAAGAACGCCGTTTGCAGTGTTCAGACCATTTTCTGTGGGTCCGGTGAGTTATTACGTGAAAACGTGACACCGAAAGCGGCAACAAATGCACTCTGTGAGCTCTGCGATCCTACGGCTGTATAACAAGCTTTGTACACGAATGCATGCGGTCTTGGGGTATGATTGTTCCGTTTGAATTTCATCCAATTTCAGTAGTGAGAAGAAAAACACGAGAAGAAGAGAGTACTGGCGATAATGACCAATTAATCAAAAGGTCAACAACCTGTGCTCAATGAAGCTAAGCTAGATCAAAACGTCTGTGATTCCAAATCAGTTTGATGCAATTTATGAGCATACCTCTGCCTGTGAATAAGAATGGAAATCTAAACCAGTAACGTAAAAATCAATACACAGCGCCAGATGCAACATTATCTCTCACGGTGTGTAGTTTATTAAACTGACGAAAAGTAAATGAATACTCGGTGTTGGTTAGAAAACAACCGAGCATCTTCCTTGAATTCTGAAACATTATACATTTCTAAAAACTTATTTGTATGAATTATACTCGGTTGCAATTTTAAAACGAAGGGGACCTCCTCAAAGGAATGAAATGATAAACTTTGTCTGGTAACGACAATGAATAACGACAAAACCACTGAAAAACTGTTTCGTTTCTGCTGGTACTCATCACCATTATGCACTATTTATGTGTTCCCAGTCGGATCTCTGGGTTGGACAGCCTGAGATTCGTGATTTTGAGTGCGTCTCGATTAGAGAACACCTGCAGCTGTCCTGCTGGGGATACATCACTTTTGTGAGTTTAATACATGCTACGAACATGTTGTACACATGATTTCGAGGATGCTTCGTCATTGGCTGCATATTCACGGCTAGCATTCCCTGTCTATCAACCATTCAACGCCCAGCGCAGGCCGGTATGTCAATTCTTCTTGCCATTGCCACACAAACAACCATTTCACCTGAAATTAATGCCTTGGTAAGCCCGTGTTCTAAATAGCCGCTTGGTTTTCATAATTTTTAAGTTGTGCTGAATAGCATAGTATACTCATCTAATACCGACCTCGTTCTCTGAGTCTCAAAGTGTTCCTATGGAGATAGTCGATCCTTGCAGACAGGTCGCCATAAAGGGCGGACGATCAACGCTTCCACTTCGAATGTGAAATAAAACACGAACATGATCAATTCAAATGACCATGTGCTTCTGTGTAATCCCCATTTTCATCCAACAGGGAATTCATCTTGCTTCGATAGAATCATACCAGAGCACACGTCACAGAGTTATTCGGTTAAAACACAGTGTTCAATTTCTCTGCAAAATGATAATCGGTAGCTGCAGAGTGAGAAGCATTTTTTATGGAACAGGGTTGTGTGAAATTTGCGGACTACCAAAATACAGTCAGTTTTAGTCGGTGATATTGCTGATTTAAAACAGAATTGTTCAATATGTTTAAATTTCATGCCTACGGATAACGGAAACAAATAACTAGTGTATGAGTGTTCCACAAAATCCTTTTTTACAATACATCAACAGAAGTTCAGGGACAACATGAAAAAAGTTGTTAACAAGATAAGACTGGGAGAAATCGAAGTCACACGTCGGTGACTAAGCGCTAAATAAATGTACTTATATCAGTGAGTTGTTTTCAAGTCAAATTAAAATTTTAAGACAACTTTGTGATACGGTTTGTTGTCTTCTTTTGTGACACACTGAATTTATTAAACTTAAAGTACCCAGCTGACGTCGCTGACGGATAATCAACAACATGGGATCACCACGATTGTGCGTACAAAAGGATATCAGAGATAAACTTACAAATGTGATGGAATTAATCACGACCAGGACGATACGGCACGGCAGATTACACAACATTCTGATGAGTCAAATGGATCCTGAAAATAGAATGGGGAGATAAATGCGGGATTGGGATATACATATTTGACACATTGGTTTCAGTCAGAACTTCTGTTATTCATGCACTGTGAACTACTATGGACTGAGCAAATAAGTTCCGGCAAGGGAACGCATTTTATTAGGCGTGTCATAGGTTCAATATCCTCTAGTGTTTTAATTCCATGTGTCACAGTCAAAATGTTTTCCCTTTTACTGCAACCTGCTATGCAATAGGCGAGTTATCAAGTACCGATTTTTTGGTGTGCTATACCCGTCTTCTTGCACACCATATATTCGCAATAACGTCTGATTGGGACCATCTGTTGTAATATTTACGGCAAACCGAGGACATCATCCATTAACAACAGGGCAAAACGCGATATACACGAACAAATCGTCAGGTCCAGACAATGACAACGGCATAATAATAAATCCTTACTGACAGCAAGTTTCAAGAAAATTGTCAGATGTTTCAAACCGAAAGTTACGATGCCTCAAAAAGCATGAATAACTATACTCTGGTCAACATGGTTTAATCAATAAATAAATTGTTCTGGCTTTTCACCACGTTATCAAACGGATATGGGTACCAACTTTACAAACAATCCTAAACTCCCGATATTTTGTGGATAAATTAAAAGTAGAAGAAACCCATTTGCTTATTTTTGAACTGGCAGTTAAAAACTCATTCTGTCTTTTTGGTGAGTAACGAACACAAATTATTGTAAAACAAATTCTCAGAATAAAGTAAGAAAGGTCTTTCGATAACTCGTCGCATTTATTCCCATGGATGTTCTGAATAAATAGAAGATTTCAACTATCGACTGAATAGTTTCCTGGAAATGTATTTCATTTCGTAGTAAGAACAATTTTTTTTCCTTGAACTTTACAGTTACTAAAACGGGGGAAAATGAAAAAAATTCCCGTTCATGCACATGTATATGCATGTGCATGCACGGACTCCCGGATCTTGAACCTGTGAGGCCACGCCAAATTAAACTCAGGACATTTGCAGTCTACTTAAAACTTCAATGAAAAAGCACATAAGATCATGGGCCCAATGACCTGGTTTTTAAAGGACTAAAATATATCGCTTAAAGCTTAACTTATCCCGTGTCTGCCATCATTTTTTTTTTCACTTAATCAGTCTCAAATTATTTGGCTATCGGCTTTTACTTTCTCATCGGTACTCGGATCTTTACGTACCGTGGTCACACACATCAGAGCATCCGCCCGAGTCGAGTACCCAGTAAAAGCAGAAAACAGCAGAAGATAGCTGGTTACCGTTTCAGTCGACCATGAAACGACTGTGTCAATCATACGATACATCATCAGTATATCCATGCATAGGTGGTAAGTATAAACTCCACCATGTCAATTAAATCCTCACGCAAAAATTGTACAGATAAATTTGTGGGCGGACACAGACCTCCCATCAAGGTATAATCATCCACTGATTATGCACCGAGTATGAACTGAGATTAATATTTCAATCCGTTAGTAATAAAGTTACCCATCAACCGGGTTACGGAGAAAATAAAATGACACATCATTATCTTGTGTAAGGCTGACCAATACTGTGCAACTTATATACCACGTTCAAAATAATTGTCGGAGAAATTACCTATCAAAGACTGACAAGAGTTATCAGTTGAAGTTATCCCCAGACCGCATATTTTTAATTGCTCTTCTCAGACTAAGTGCCCCTATAGGGAGAATCAGTGTGGCAAAATGTAAACGTGGTGAGTGGGATATTTTGATTTCACGCAATACTTTCACCTGCGATAATAGTGATGATTGCATATGCAGAGAAATCTATCAATGATTTTGAATACTTTTAAGGGATTTCGGTATTCGATGACCTAGCTTAAAACCCTTGTTCACTTTAGAGGTATGATGACAACCTTATGAAATACAACTAATTTTTTTTGGGAATTCGCGTTTAACTCAAAGTTACTTGTGAGCAGTGTTGTAGGATAATCGATATTGATTGATTATAACTAACCAGACTTCACTTTCACACACATTCCTCAGTTCTTCCAGTCCACACTGCTTTAGGAAGTACTAGACTCGTATTTCGTTCTATTAGAGCTCATCAGTAGTGCATATTCACCATCCCGTCCGGGGTTTAAACTACGGACCTATGCACCACTGATGAGCTCTAATAAGAGCAAAGCTCGAGTCTAGCGCTTCCGAGTGTATGGATGACTGGAAGAGCTGAGGAATGGGCGTGACACTGAGGTCTCTATGATGTTCAGTTTTAATCAACCACCATGTTTGAATTAACAAACACCAATTTGTACAGCTCATTTTGAAAACAGTACAATGACATCTATTCCTTGTAGTGAGTGATCAACAATTCATGGGTTCATAAATGAGCACGCAATTTGAGGGGTTTTGCACATTCCGCTTGTGTCCACTGTTAACAGTGCATCTATTACCCATGTGCTAGATGATTAGCAAACAACGGGCTTTAACATTGTTTTAATTTGTTTTAGGGGGCAGTGAAGCGGAGAGGATCATTGTGAAACCACAGAAAGATACAAAACAGTATTATCCAAACGTTTACCAACGAAGATAATAATAAAGAACTCGACTGTGAAGCCCGAAGATCTTAACATGGTTCATTTTCACGTATCGTACATATACTCCTTGGTGGAATCCACTCCATGGTATTTCTTATATTTTGCACCTAAAGAAGTTGCACAAGCTCCATATGCCGGAGAAAGATAGTTTCTGCACCATAGAAGAATTTATCTTAATCCACAAAGTAGTACAGTATCTTAGCGAGCGCAAGATGCTTGCGGAAACAAAAGACCATACAGATTTTATGAAATTTCATCGCTATTCATTTGCTGTTTTCTAATACGCATGTATATGTTTGTTTACAAAGAGAGATAATAGCACAAAACTAATACTACTGTTATTCGTTGGTTAGACAGATACCTGGTGTCCTCCATCATTGCAGTTGGCCGCAAAGGTCAATTCGCTTGGAAAGACTTGAAACAAATTTCAAATTTCAAATACGTTTGTCTGGAAGTGACCAATCACTTATCTAAAATCAGGGTTTATTTCAGTCTGTTCTGTATCTACACCGCTAATCGTGTATATATTTAAATGGACCTTTTTGGAGCCGCGTAGCAGTGTGACGCCAGGGCTAAACTCACGCCCATTTAGTAGGGAGAGTCGTTGCAATGGTCTATGTTGTTTAATTTGTCCCATTCCGAGCATGTTATTTTTAGGAATAACACATCCCACTATATTAATTGCACAACGTAAAACCCGTGCAGCATTTGAGCACAAATTATTCATCACTAGTGTGCGAAAAGCATCAATGAACTCTACAGTTCAAGTGATCGAGTTTGGATTTACCTTGACGTCACCTTTCAAACACATTCACTTTTTTGACAGTGATCGCGTTCAAATAATTGCACACCAAATTATTAACGCCGAATCACAAAACTGACTGATGTTTTTTCACGGGGTTTTCATGCGCTTCCATCTTCAGATTAGAATGCTATTGGAAATGATCGATGATGTGTTCCACATCGATAGGTATTCTGAATAGTTCGACGTCCTGGCTCATTCAAAGTGCAAATATTTCATTTTCCTTGGCATTTCAATCCATTTGAGAAGGAACTTCGTGCAGTCTATTCTTTTTCTGATGCTCTTGAAACAAAATCGAATCGGTGACTTCCAAACGCACCGTCAAATGATTGGAAGAGTTGGCAGAAATCTGACATTTTAATGACCACTTGGTTTGTCCACTTCAACTATAAACATTCTGTTCAAGTATTTTACTATTCCAAATAGACTAATGTTCATGAGTTTGGCATCTCTAATCCTTTTTTGTGAGTAAATCTCAGTGCAAGCTCTTCTTTGTCAAATGCCGCACTTCATGCATAAGTTATTCCCTGGAGTGACGTGTGACAGAAATCAAAATGAATCTCAGCTGACATAAATCTCTTCAGTAGAAAAAAATAATAAAACGCACACAAAAACCTTGTTAAACAAATATGGGAATGGAATAAGTAAGTGAATTGAGACAAAAAACCAATCGCTCCGTTATTTAGGGTCGAAGTTTCGGAAAGCGAGTAGTGCTTAGATTGAAGCATCTATGGTTCAAAGTTTGAATGAAGATCAATATATGAAAGCATCGAAAACTGTGCATTTTTCTGTACAAAGTAATAGCCCGTCCTGGTAGTTTCAACCCTGAATTTGCCGTAATCGTAATAATAATGACCCGGTGGCTGCTAAGTCTTGTCGAACAAAAGTTCTTTAACTACCACCGCAAAACAAATCCATTTATCGTTCCTCTGAACCGTGTAACCATACAGATCAGTTGTTGGCACAACCTTCAGGGATAAAAGGGAGACCAAAAGGTGTAACAGATACATTTTAAAAGTACCCATTTTTGCTTAACAGTATAAGTTAGACGTGTATGACACTTGAATTTTAGCAGAACACCATGCATGTATCCACGAATCCTTTGGATCGTTCACCTAGAATGATCGATTTCTTTTCTATAGAGGTTCGAATTTTGTTAAATAACCACGCTCTTACAAAGCAAATCAACCGGTATTGGGTCAATATTGAACAAAAATTCCATTTTGAAATCTGGCCACAGATATCCTATTTTGCATACAATAATTTAAATATACTTTAATATGCTATTTCAAAAACACTTCAGAATGATTCCATTTGTCACGAAAAACCAAGTTCACGTATCACAAAGTGTTATTTCCATTGAAATAACTGGCATAATCGGATAATGCATGTGTATATCATTTTTGATAAATCTAATATTATTAAGAGATGGCCACTAAACTTTGAACCTTTTTATAGTTCTGGCTGTTGTTATTGTCTTTATCGTTTTTTTTGTTGCTGTGTACTTCAAATTGAAACAGATCATCTGATAGAATCAACTCGTGACTATAAAACGTAAAATAATTTTTGCATCAAGCAGAGTTCGTGGGTCA